CCCGGGCCGCCCGGTCCCCGCCCCCGCCCCGCCAGCGGGCCCACGTGACCCTGGAAACCATGGCAACCCCGTCGACAGGCGCCTGGCTCTGCTGCTCCGACGGCCGCGGGGCAGAGGCCTTTGGAGGCTCAGGGGAGGCTGGGGCGCGCAGCCCACACGTGCACCGGGCTGGGGGTTGTCATTCGACGCTTCCCCCGTGTTCCCCAGAGCCACGTTTCCCTGTACGCCTGGCGGTGCACCCCAGAGCCGACTGTACACGCACCCCACCCAAATTCCCTCACTGCATCCTCTGTGAACCCACAGAGAGGAACTTCTAGATGAGGCACCCTTAAAGTCCCCGCCGGGTACATTTTGTTCACCCTAATAGGATCCAGTTGCACTGATAAGTGTTGGTATACCTTTTATTTAAATTCATATAATTGCAGCGGTTCTCTTTGAGACAACCCATCCTTCAAACTGCTATCTTTCTCACTTTTTCCTTTTACCTCTTCTAATCCAATTTTCCTCTGTCTGTCCTCTTTGCTTTTTCCTTCACTTGGCACTTCCATTTTATGTTCAGTGCACTTGCTAATATGTACTGAGACAAATGCAAAGTTTTTTGGGAGACCCTCAGCATCAGCAAGGATGGGTGCATGAGGTTTTCATCCTTTCTCCATAACTACTCAATGTGTTTGCTGAGCAAATAATTTGCAAAACTAGACTCTATGAAAAAGAATGTGGCATCAGGATAAGAGGAAGATTCATTAACAAAGCTGTGTTATGCAGATGACACAAGTTGGCTTGCTGAAAGTGAAAAATATATGAAATGCTTATTACAGAAGATCAAGGAGTACAGCCTTGGTTATAGGTCACAACCTGAACTCAAGAAAATAAAGGTCCTCACCACAGGACCAGCAGTCAACATTATGATAGATGCAGAAAGGATAGAAGCTGTCAATGATTTCATCTTGCTTGGATCGACAATCAACACCCTTGGTAACAACAGTCAGGAAATATGTTGTGTCGGGCAAGTCCACGGTCAGAGACCTCTCCAGAATGCTGAGGAGCAGTTATGTCAATTTGAAGACTAAGATGCACCTGATTCAGGCCATGGTCCAGTCTTGTCTTTTTTTAAAATTTTTATTTTAAGTTATTTTCATTTTATTTGATGACATATTTATTCTCAAGCCATACATAAGTTTTTGTTTCTTCAGTTTCTTCTAGGAGATCTTTTTCTTCTGGGCAATCTCCTCTTCTGGTTTAGGAACAACCTATTCCTTTTCAGTAAGGATCATTTCAATATGGCAGGGGGAACTCATGTAGGGGTTAATCTGACCGTGAGCTCTGTGCATGGGGTGGCGCATCTTGGGAGCTTTGTTCACCTGAATATACTCAGTGACCAGAGAATCTAAATCCTTAAGTTCAGCATTACTTTTGGCGTGTTTAAGCATAGGCAGCAAAAACTGGGCACTCTTTTTGGGTCACAGACCCAGTGTCTAACCTCACTGTTTGGCCTGGGCACACATATCAGCTCCACCATTGTAACATCGGAATGGTACACACTGCTTTTGCAAAGTGACATCTTTCAGATACTTGGTGGCTTTCCAGATATGCATACCCTTGATGGCCTGCCGTTTCCCCGGCGGGTGTTCTTAAAATGGACCCAGAGATTTGAGCCTCTTGATTTGCATGATTTTGTGGGGTTTTCCAGGTCAAGCAAGTAGCGAACCATTCTGGGAGATCACCTGAAGCTGCACACAGGAAAAGGAAGAGGCCATGCATGGTCTTTTCAATCACTTGCTATGCATCAGAGCTGGACAATGAATCAGGATGACAGAAGAATTGATGGCTTTGACTTGTGGTGTTGGAGAAGAGTAATGAATGGGCCCACGGACTGCCAAATAATAAACAGATATGTCTTGGGAAAAGTGCAGCCAGAGTAGTCCTTGAACACAAAGGTGGTGTCTTTCACACTTTGGACTTGTAGCTAGGCAAGGCTATTTCCTGGAAAGGGACATCATGCTTGGAGGGTGAGTGAAGGATAGGAAGAGTTCCAACAAGATGGATTGATACGTGATTTCAGCGATGGGTTCAAGTGTGTCAGAGAAGATGAAGATAGCACAGAACAGGGCAAGGTTCAGGTTGGCTGTTCATAGGGTCAGTATAAGTTATATTTGACTGTATCTAAAAACAGCAACAAGTTAGGGAAGTCCTTCAAACAGAAAGGTGTAGCAACTTGAGTTTTAAAATGTCATAGGCATAGATTGTCACAGAGCTAAAAAAATACCAAAACAAACTATGCGTGATTGTGTATTTATTCCTTATTAAAAACTTTCCCTTACAGACTGAAGGATTCTGAATTACATTTCCCAAAATAGGCTTCCTTCACTATAAAGAGAAGTAGAAATACAGATACACGCTTTTGAAGTAGAAATGTTCTTCTTGTTGTTATGTGCCGTCAAGTCACTTGAGATTCATAGTGACCCTATGTACAACAGCCCTAAACTCTGCTCTGTCTCCAACACACCCATTCCAACTACCCCAGTCACTGACTCAACCCACATCATAAAGGGCCTTCCCCTCCTGCACCTGCCCTCTACCCTCCCAAGCATGATGTCCTTCTCCAATAACCAGTCTCTCTTTACAACATGACCAAAGTATGTCAGACAAAGCACCAGAATCCTTGCCTCCATGGAGTAGCCAGGTTTTACCCTCTCCAGAATGAATCTGTTTTCTTATATGATGCTTATCCTGCAAGTGTTTACGATCTTCAATTATGCAAAATTGTATTTTTCTAATTACTATTAAATATGAATTTCTGCATCTCATTTCTACATTGACCAGCATATCACTATAAAAGAAAATAATTGGAGAGCAAGTTCACTTAGTCATATTGGTTTCTCTTTCTGCCCACATACAAGAGTAAATACATGACTCAGAAGACCCAAAGACTAGAAAGCAAGATATAACAAAGTAGTTCCTTCTACAAAAAACCCAAAAATCAAAAAATCTTGACATTAATTCTTTTATTTCTTTACGACCTGTTTATATTCACTCTATGAGTTAATACATTTCTCTAGCTCTACTTCTTACTAATCTCATAATAATAATACTACTATGTTGGTTTTAAAATAAATGAAAGTTCTTCCAATTTTAAGTGTCAAACATTTGAAAAAAGTGAGATTTTATAAAATTCCATTACCCTCACATGCCATAAGGTGAAAAAAAAAACCAGGATTAGTCAAATTCTTAACCATATAAGCAGCATTTTCTTTTCAGACTCATCTAAGAAGAATTTGCATGATCTGTTTTCATTTATGATGATGGTTATAGTAACATTAGCATTGTTCACACCGGGCAGAAAATGCAAAAAGACAGTGGCTTAAACAAAATAGACATTTGTTTCTTGGTAATGTGAATGGAGGGAGCTCAGAGCTCACACTGAAAGAGCTCAGATCCCAGTGACTCCAAAATCTTTTGAGACAGACCCAGGCTCCATCTGATTCACTGTTCTATAAGCCTTATTTGTCATTTCGATTTTATAGTCCAAAATGCCCACCCCACCTCCATTCTTCTTATCTATATTTTAGTCAGAGGAAAGAGACAAACGGAAGGGAACTCCTGTGTATGCCCTTCCAGATCACCTCTAGGCTGTCATACATATCAGGTGCTCATGTTTTTTCAGCTAGAATCTAGTCGCACAGCCACACTTATCTATAGTGTGGTGGATTGCATTATCCAATGATGGCTACAGTAACATATCCGATCTCATCTGCTCTTCTCCATATGCTCTTATCCTATCCCTCCTCAAAAATAGGAGTTTAATTCCCCTCCGCTTCAATCTCAACAGGCTTGTGGCAGCTTTGATCAGTAGAGCATGATAAAATCCTGCGAGTCTGTTGGAAGAAGCAAGCCTTATATTGTTTTGTGTGAAGTCCTAACCAACAGACCTGGATATGAATATAATGCAAAGGTTGTATTAAGCCCTTCTGTTTGGAAGGTAAATTCTCACACAGCAAAAGCCATGAAAACGTACAGCAGTATGGTGATGTAGTCCATAGAGAACTACTAGGTGGCTAATCCAGAGACATCATCTCTCTGGCATCTTGAATCCACTCGTAGTTCCTCAGGAGAAAGGTGAGCCATCTCCTCCTCTGTGATTTACAGACTAGCAAACCCAGTGGAGGGTCAGCTATAACAGTAGGTTCTGAGAATTTTTTAGTTTTACCTGGAATGCTTGAGAATATAATCTTTGTTTTGAGTAGTCATGTAACTACTTCTGGTTGTTGTTGCTATGTGCCATTGTGTCGTCTGTGACTCATAGCAACCCTGATTACATCTTCGAACCCCGCTTGATTACCCCAGTCACTGAGTCAATCCATCTCATCCAGGGGCTTCCTCTCTTGTGCTGTCCCTCCACCCTCCCAAATATGATGTCCTTCTCCAAGGAATGGTCCCTCCTGGCAACATGCCCAAAATATGTCAGATGGAGCTTCAAAATCCTTGCCTCTACGGAGCAGCCTGGTTTCACCCTCTCCAGGACAAACCTGTTTGTTCTCTTAGTAGTCCATGGTGTATCTAATACCGTTCTCCAGCACAATTCAAAGGCATCAATTCTTCTATCATTTAGTCATTGTCCAGCTCTTTGATGTATAGAAAGTAATTTAGTCCAGGTCTCTGTTGTATAGAAAGTAATTTAAAGACCATGGCCTGAATCAGGCACACCTTAGTCTCCAGAAT